GGATATTATCCTTTCGCAATAATCCGGGCAGCTAAACCCATCCCCAGGCGTCTTCAAGCTTGCACAGGCGACCCCAGCAAGCCACCTGGGTGATGTAATCTATCACTATAACCGGGTCAACTTTGAATTCAAAATTGTATCCATTATCGAACGCTCCAGAGTAGTCCATACCGCGAGCATACGCAAGGAGCGGATGGCTCGACATCCCTGTGTGAATCGTCCGATTGGTCCACAGGTGAACAAATAGCTCGTGCCATCTCTTTATGAATGGATCACCCTTGCGGCTAGCCACGAAATGGTTTGCCATCACAACCTCGTACATACAGGGGACGGCAACATTCCTAGGTGAGCTGTCGTCTGCCAGTATTGACCAGCAAAGTTGATCAAGAGAGCGAACAAGCAGGTTCCCCACGTCCATATATACACCCCCATGGAGATACAAACTAGCGCCGCGTAGAAAGTCCGCGCTATGTTGGCCGGTGTACGGGCCCTCCATAGTCCCTTTGATAAATGTTTCCGGAAGCATGTCCGCCGGAATATATTTTAATGCGTGGTTGGGGGAATCGGGGATGTTGTCCAGTACGCGAATTGTCCACGAGGGACCGCAGAGACGTGACCAGTTCACCACATTGCGCTTGCACCAGCCTGGCATGGATTTTATGCCTGAGTGCCAGTATGCCCAAATGTTTTCTCCGATTCCACCGGAGTAAAGACGTTGAGGGACGAGATGATTTCCTCATCTGTACGGGCATCAAGAGGCTCGACATATCTGAGTTCTGCCTGGAACTCAGGAGGGATGGTGAACTGAGGGGGTTTCATGTTTTCCGACTTCGGATGTTCTTGCGTCAGCTTGTTCGTTTATTTGGAGTTTATGTATGTATTTATTCTAATTTATCTTTCCTGTATGAGAATGGGAATCCTGTTCAATGACTTCCTATTTATATTAGTTATGGAGAACGTGGGCTGCCCAGTAAGTCTATGGATGTAATCAGCAGATATCAGCTCGTTGCCTTGGACAGTAGTATTCAGTATATATCCGACGAATTAAATTCATATTTTTGCTGACAGGAAGCAGCTTTCCTTCCAGCTGTTTCACAAGCATGCCACTCTGAACTATATCTTACGCTTTTTTTTTTCATGGATAGTGTTGGCGTGCCTACTAAGACTAATCTGCCAGTCACGTACGTAGTTCTGCTTTATTAGATCGCTAGCTACTGCATCTCCTAGATCTTCAATTCATCAAGTTCTCCCTTCAACGATAGCCTGAGTGCTTACGGACTGCAGGGAATTGTTAGTTAAGTACGTCAGCGAACGAATTTTGACTCGAGGGCAAACTGATGCTAGATAAACTCACCGAGAGTTTCATTTGTGAATGTAAGATAATATTTTAGCAGCACGTTCAGCGCATGAAATTTTATGACCTGAACAATAGTTAGTTTCCATTATGAGGTAATATTGTTCCATTTGAGGTATAGATTGAAGGGTAGCTGTTGAACATTAAGCACACCGTAAGTCCCGGTACCGTAGAGGTATGTACCAACTGGTAGGAGAAGGCGATAGAGAAAGAGACGGGCGGATTGTGGGACAAGATGGTAGAGTTGAAGTATTCTCAAGGGCGGCTGAGACGACGCGCTGGAACTAGCAAAACCAGCAGGTGATAGGAGGTGAAAATGGGAAATTTTGAAGTACCTGGCCCATATTTTCAGAAGATCCTTTGCTCTCCACTGAAAGAAAACTTTGTTAGCTGGCCAACCGCTGAAAATCTTTTTGATATTCGTGTAGTTCTCGCACGTCGTTCGGGACGGAGAGGGGTAATGCTTCTCCTGTTTCTGTAAGAGCTACTATGTCTTTCCAGAGCTGTACTGGACATGGCACTCACGATAGCTTTGTCTGGTGGTGGAAAGTGGCTGCTGGAAGCATCTCTTCAGTACCGACTAGCATACTTATTATATCCTGTGCTAGGCTGTGTTTGTGAAGTTACCGGGATCGGGAATTTATGACAGCGTGGAATGGCCTTGAAATTTGACAAGGCATGTCCGGGAAAAGTTCGAGCGGCGCCTGAACCGGAAAGCCAA